GAAGATATGAGGATAATGACTCTCATTGAGAAAGATAGAATATCTTGTCCTTAAGAGTGCAAAACACAAATGTTTTGTTTTCTGCTGCCTGCTTGGAAAATGAGCATGTCTTCCAGTATATCATACTGGGAAATAAAACTCCAAATCAAACTAAGGAAAAACAGATTAAGATATTAAATATCCTTAAGATATTAAAGATCCTTGGTAGCAGTGTAGAGGACTGTTATCCCAAAATGTTTTTTGCCTCTAAAACGCTGAGTAAAAAGGTTGAGTTTTGGCATCTCTTAGTTCTAACCTACTTCACAGTGAGAACAGCTTTATAGGGTTCTGTACTAAAGTATGTATCATTCTCTTCAACCCCTATTCTTATTTGATAAACGTGTAGATCAATGAAACAAACCATTAAATAGATTGAGTATTACCTGCAACACTGATGCTGATGACTCCAAATTTATTAAGCCTATTTGGAAATCTCATACAGGTGGCAGCATCCATAAAATGACAAATTATGGAGCATAAATTTAAACATTAGAGGAAGAGATAGTGATAGTGGAAATCTTTAAAATATACTGCATATTTTGAAGAATTGGAAAGGAGAACAAAAACTTTTTAGTTTTGGGTTACTGTAAATAGTCCCAAGTTTAACACAGTATTATATTGATTATATTGTGTCCTACCTTCCTGTTGTAAGCAACTGGAACATGTAAAAGGATCAAGACTCTTTATCTTGACGTACAACTTCATGGGATAGACTATATAATCTCTTATGGTTCTAGTTTTTCCAACTGCTAAGTAAATTCAGTTATGGGAAAATCTGGTCTCAAAAGAGACACTGATGTGTAATTGAGATACAGAATGTTCAGTGAATCCCTGGCCACTAATAAGTTAATTTGTTTGTCTTCTATCCATGTTTTTGTCTTTAGGTAAAAAAGTAATATTTATACTTGTAATTAGAACTCTTAATTATACAAATTAAAAATATGGTGTTACTTCATGTATAGTACTTCATGGGGTAAAAATAATGCTTAGAAGGAAGGAAAAAATTATATTAAATATTTATGTCACTGTACCCTGAAACACAAGTCAGTATTGCATCTGGTGCATGCAAACTTAAGAAGAAGTATGGATTTCTTAAGGCAACTTCATCTTCTGCTGGATTGCTCTAGAAGGCAAGACATTATTCTTCTTTGTGCAACAAACATTCTCCAGAAACCTGTACAGGAGCCTCTTCTTGCTTTCCAATAAAAATAAGGTGGCATTTTGTCCTCATTTTGCCATAGCATTAGCGAGCACTGCTCTTTGAAGCAGTGGCTTAGATCCAAGAAGCAAATAAAACTAGGAATGAATGGTTTCATTTTCTTTCCTACTTGAAACCAAAAACTGATAAATTTGATAAGAATACCTTTTTAGCTAACGCAACTGCATATTCTCTTTGCCTTCATCCCTTCCAGTCAGCAGTTTGAGCTTTCTCCATATAAATCACAGTTCATTTAAAAAGATCAGAGATACATGCCATGTATGCTTAATTTCCTTCAGTGGAGGAGAGTAAAAATGTAAATTGATTTTTGATTCAAAATACTCTGTTTGGATCAAGGCCTCAGATAACATTCTGCTTAGAATAAACCTTATGAACTTGGTGAAGAGAGAAGGTGAGATGAGACTTTACATTATAGAAAGCTTCAATTTCTTAGCACTTCTTTTGCTTTAGTTTATTTATTTATTTATTTATTTAGTATGCTTGAGTTTACATACGTGATCTCCAAATTTATGCAACTCATATGTAGAGACAAAACTGGCAAGTGGGATGTGAATATATAAAATTTATGGATTTTTTTCAGTTAAGTCGTCATTACAGGAAACTTATTTACTCTGACAGAGTTTAGGTCAGGTTTATAATGACCAAGTAAGTCTGACTGAAGACCTCCAATTTATGTACAACTCACTGAAATACATGGTTTCAAATCCTGCTGGAGCATAAAGGACTTTAGACAGCTAAAATTTAGCATCTTGCTTTGAGAAAAAAGTTCAGAATATGACCACGTTGTAACATTTTCCTTTCTGAATGATTTGGGTGGGGGCTTGTAGGGAGCATAACCAGTGAGAAGGGGGATGATTGAGATTGTTTGGGACAGGTAGAAATTGAGCCTGTGGATGTGTGACTATCCTCAGAACAGAGATGTTCCAAAATATGGCAATACATTAGATGCTATGATGCATAAGATATTATGATGCCAGTGACTGCTCAGTGTTTTGTTGTGTGCTGGTTGAGGAAGGAAAAAAATTGGCTTCTTTACATATAAAAAGGATCATATTTATGAAAGGCTCTTCTGTCAGAAGCAGTTCAGGATGTATAAACACAGGAGTTCACTGTCATACCTTTTTTTTTACTCTTTCCTCTCTAATGAATAGAAAAGCTAGAAACAATTCATCAGTTTTATTCAGCTCCAATGACAGTAAACTCTTAGGACGTTACGGATCATCCAGTATCCAAGATATAGGTCTGCAAAGCTCATGGGATAGTCATCTGTGGTACTTCCAGAAAGTAGGATTAAAAAAGTTCCTCACTAGTGGCTCAAGTGGATCCTTATTAATAACATAATTCAAACTACACTTTCTCTTTGGGGGAGAGCAATTAGACTTAAATTTGGTAGTCTCAAAGTAGTGTACTCCAAATTCTTTAAGATGTTTGTTTAAAGACTAATAATTAATACTGTGCTGATTTCAAAGCCCTTTGAATGGAGAGCTGCTGTTGAATTAAAGTTATCACTAGGCTACATTTTAAACTACTTAATATTTTCTTTACTGTCTTGGATAAATTTGCATTTGAGAGATACAGATACGTAATGTTCCTTTAAAGGATGAATGAAGTTCTGTCATTCCTTGTACAGGGACGATGGATAGTTTTTTTCTATTTTCCACTTTTATTTTGAGATTTTATTTTTATTCTTTAGTGTACTTTCCTCTGGAAGTCTGAGTAGCAGCTTATATAGCAGCAGTGTTCTTTTGAAACTAATATTAAACTTAGAATCCAGTGCCCTGACAGCAACTCAAGCCAAAATCAGGCTTTGCCTCAACTTGCCTGACTGCATTTGAGCATTTGAACTCTGAAAAGCCAAATGAGAGGCTGAAAGTTAGGTCATAAGGGATCTTCTAAACAGCCACTGCCCGTAACATTTTGCCTTTGTTATCTCAATGACTCCAAATAGTCAGAGATCTAGTGTACCAGTTAAGTTCAGATTGCCTGCTGCCAAATGAGTTTGCAGCTTTTTCTACTTTTTCTGGAACCATTATTTTAAAGCACTTCCTTTCAGTTTCTGCATCTTTATATTTCAGTCCTATTTCCTTGTTCCATTTCATCGGTGTCCTTCTAGAACCTTTTTATCCTCTCCACACACACCACTTCCTCCTCCTCTCCCCTGTCCCCCCCTGCCCCACTCCCCACAACTGTGCTGTATTCACATATCCTTTTCATTTCTATGTACTTCACCTGGTTGCTTTCCATGTTTCAGTGAATAAAGTCAATAGACTCTCCTTTTCCACCTTTTTGTTTACTTTCACCATTTTCTTTTCTCTCTTGTTTTCCTTTCTATTAACCAATTTTTTTTCTTTAAAAGAAAGAGTTAATAATAAATATTTAATAAAGATTTTATAATACATTTAAAAAGTCATTTGATAATTCTTCTGCCTTCAGTAGGACTTCGAAACTCTTGTGGACTTCTTGACTCCTGTAGACTGCTCAGGTCCTAGGTCTGAGGCTTCTTTCATAGTTGTTGTTTTAGATACCGCTGTTGACTAATAGGTTACATGCAAATGCAACTAAGAATATAGAATAAGAGAATCAGTTAGGTTGGAAAACACCCTTTAGATCATCAGGTCCAACCATTAGCCTAACATTACCAACTCCACCACTAAACCATGTCCCTAAGCACCTCTGGTGGTTTGCAAGAACTCATTGGTTTACTTTCATTAAAATAGTTTCACCACTTTCTTAACCCCCTGCATATATGGTTTATCATGATCTGAAGTTTGCAGGAGTTGTAAGAAGATCGGTTTTCTACCTGTGTTTGCCCGTGTACTATTCACTGAGTAGTAGTTCATAAGTTGAAACTTCTTAAAATTCAGAGATGACTTTAAACACAGCTGTATGGTTTTACTGTGATTGCAGCAGACCAGGTAAGAAACAAACTGAAAGGCCAAAAATCTTTTACTTGCAATGGTTTGCTTTGGTGTTAAAAGTGTGGTTTAGATATGTGGTTTTATATAAATATATGTATGTATCCTTTGACTTAGTTGACAAGAATGTATGCAATCTCACATATTTATGAAAACAAACGTCCACAGAGGAAGTCTGAATGGACTAGGAAATTTGAAAGGAAAATAGCAACCATGCAGTAGCTCTCAGTTCTAGACTACCAAAACCCCAGCAACATTTCTCCTTTTCCATCTAACCTGTAGCTTCTAAACATCCTTCAGAAAATTACTTCCTGTTCTGAAGTGAGGCTGATACTATATTTTTGTCTGTGAATTAGCAGAGCCCTTTGTTTTTCTCTTGACACTTTACACTAAACCTTATTAATTGTTTCAAAGAAAAAGCATTTTGCCACATGCTTTTAGAAATGTGGGGTTGCACAAACTAGCACATTCAGTTTCTGTAGGTGTGATTACCTACTTTCAGGGTAGAAGTACTAAGAGTGCCTCAAGGTTAGGACAAGCAAAAAAACACAGTGTAAATGAATTAATCATTGTTACTAGTAGTCAAATACAACTTCTCTTGAAACTTATAATGTAAGTTCCAATTATTTAAAACAAATCAAGACTTGGCTCTGAATTGTTGTTTAAATTTCTGTGGAATATTGATAAGCTTTCAGAGTTTACAAATATTGAGGACTTATTAAAGCAAGGTAGAAAAAAGAAAACAAACAAACAGAAACTACTGCTGAAATTTGTGTTTGCAGATGATTAGTATAATTCTCACATGTGTTTTTTTCAAATGTCATTAGAACAAGTAATGGTGACTGTCAACAGTGATGTACATAATAACTCAACTGCATCAGATAACAACAGACTGGGTAAGACAATGCTGTTCTAGGAAGTATTTGTGCCACAGGGTCAGCTAGTTGAATTTTACACAGGGCCCTAACATAGCATTTTTTAAAGTTCTTAGCCTTAGGCTGTCAGGTAAGGTTTGGGGGATAGGTTTCTCCATCTTAGAACAGAACATGTCTCAGGGATTTTACTTGTGTTTCAATATGCCATCATATTTAGTTGTTGATGTTTAAGTTCCTGTTGATATTTAAAAACAGTAAGTGTCAAGATAATTGACTAGTATTTCCCCCAGGTTTTTCTGCCTTTACAAAGTCATTTAATGACATTAAGGGCAGGAGCCTGTTTGGAGCAGGCAGAAATGATGATATACACAGAGCTGAAGTGTGGAAAGTTACAGAGGAGCCTGGTGTTTTACTTAGAATATCTCTGTGGTGTAGAGGGGTATCCTTCAGTTAGTTGGTGTAACGTCCTAAAGACAGAAAACTTGATTGTGCACACCAGGCTTGTTCACCATAAACCTTTGCACAAGGCAGAATACCTGACTGAAGTTTTTCTAACCCATGCATAGTACAGTCCCTGGTTGAAAAATTCTATATTACATTACATCTCAATATGAGTATTTTTCTATGTTAAAGACAAATGTATAGCACGCTCTATACATTTTTAGTAAACAAATAAAATCTTGGGCCACAAGATAGAGCTAATGTTGTCATTTTCATATATTCATATACAGTTTTTATGCTTTAAATGCATTTTATGTGTATGTGTTTGATTGTCAAATATTCATTTGTGTTTGGTTTTTTGTATTAATTTTTCTTTGTTTTTCTTTTTTTTTTTCTTTTTAAAAGCATGATTTCTCACATTTTATTTTGTTTCTTTTAGGTTTTGTTTTATTTCATAAGATCCCACTGGATGGGTAAATGAAATAAGGAAAAGATGAGAGAGGGGCTGTTGAGCTTGTGGAATCTGTATGCTGAACAGTAGGGAGTGGACAGTGTTCTTACCCAGTGAAGTGTCACCTCCCTTGGTGTACATTCAAATCAGTAGCTGTTTTTGCAAGAGCGGGGCAAAGCCAAGCCCTGAGGCAGCTAAAAAACTCAAGAAAGTCCAGAAATAAGCTACCACACCCTTTCATATTGCCTTGTCCTCACTGTATCTTCCAAAATGACATTGAGATGAAATGACATTATTGTGTTTCCTCTGTCAACTATTTTTTTCTGTTTGAACTTAACTGGAAAGATGTTGGGTTTATAAATAATATTTATCAAGGGTGAACTGCAAAGCTGCTTTTGTTTTATTGCATTAATGCTTCTGCAAAACTTCTACGTTACTTGAGTGTGTGTGTAAGGCTCACTGATTTCAGTAGCAATGCTCACATTCTTTAAAGTTAAGTTCTTGTAGATATGCAGGATATGGTCTTATATCATGAAGCAGTAAATTGCAGAGCTGGCCCTGCAAATCTTATTATGAATGTAGGTCCACTGACTTTACCAGGGAGATGGAGAGTCTAAAATGTGTACGGAAAGGTGGCAGTACTGTTTGTGAGTGTGTTTGGGTATTGAAGCGGCCCCACCACTTAGACATTCAGTTAGGTCATGCTTATTCAAGATAGTCCATAAGTTAAGGTTGGATATTAGAAAGAAATTCTTTACAGAGAGAGTGATCAGGCATTGGAATGGCCTGCCCAGAGAGGTGGTGGATTCACCGTCCCTGGAGGTTTTTAAGATGAGGCTGGATGTGGCACTGAGAGTGCCATGATCTAGTAATCACAGTGGGGTTGGATCAAGGGTTGGACTTGATGATCTCGAAGGTCTCTTCCAACCCAGTTAATTCTATGATTCTATGATTTAGATAAACATACAAATTTGTAGTAAGACAGAATGCTGATTCTGAGCCAAGAACAAGAATAACAACAGTATGTGGCTGTTCCTTCAGACTGTAGACTTAAAGGCTTGTTTAACTGTTCATATTTAACTGTGAAGTATGCTTCAGAATATGCTTCAGTATATTTCAGGGAAGAGATAACTTTAACACATACAGCTAAGTGAAGGCATGTGCATATTGCAAGAGCAAGTATGGCATTTAGATACAGTTAAATTAATTTTCATTCTATTTACCTGAGTTTCTGCTTTGATCTTTTCAGTTTAAGGAATTCTAGGAAATACGAAGTTTCTGGTTTGGTTGTTTGGTTTTGTTTTTAACTGAGAGCTACAAAGACTAGCAGCAAAAAACCGTGATGTTTCTGTCCATTTTGATTACATTTTTGAGATGTGTAATAAAAAAGCAGAGTAGATGTCTCTCCAGTATTTGCTTTTCATTGTTACTGCTTTTTAATTTCAGCCATTTTCGCTCTTCCATTGTAACACCATTGTCTTTTACCGCAGTCTTTTACAGCCATACACCATACTTCTCTTGCTACAATACTGTCTTGACTCTTTTGTACTATCTCTATAAACTTTCTTGCTTTTTGCCTTTTAAGATTCTTAGTCCTTCAATTTTTTGCTTGTGTTCTCTTGAGTCTCTTGCATCCGAGTTCTTTATTCCTCCTGTGCTCAAGTTTTGGAAATAGCCTTTCTAGTCAAGAAATATGTCCACATTTGCATTCTTCTAAGCCTGTGTGGTGAGGTATTTCCTCTGTCTTGCCACTGGTTAGGCATGGGGAGCTGTAGTTGCTAAAAATCTGTCCCAAAGATGTGTTCTCCTCCCCACGCTAAAATGAGGACAGAGCTGGAAGTCTACTGATGACCTAGGAATCGTGTTGTCTTTGTCGCCCTGCACATACTGTGGTGATCTGGGGAGGGATGGCAGCAATTAAGGATATCCATCATAGTTCTGTTTGAAGTTGGATGACAACAAGTGCTCTGCTGTTCTTCAAAAACAGTATTAGGAATGTTTGACTTTTTTTCCTCCCTAAGTCTGTGTAGACATAGTCTTATTTTTCAGAGATCATAACTTTCTCTTCTGATTACTGATTCACTTTTAATTTCCTTTTAATTATTTTCTTCTCAGACTTCTTGCTTAACCATGCATCTGTCTTCCTGTTGAAATATCTGATGTCATTGAGCTGATGCTGAATGAGTGGAGAATCATTTAGCAGCAAGATCTGAACTAAAGTCAGTGGACTTACATCAGACATATGTTGGATTGTGAGCAGTGCTTGACCAGTATCTGAAATTCCAATTTGAGGTTTTGCTGGTACAAAGTCAGCATATCTCAGTTATGTGCTCACAATTTATTTCCAAATAAATGAGGTGAGAATCTGAACCCTTTGCTTTTGGCAGGGAAAATGAAAACTCAAAGAGCTGGAATTTGGCAGTTGATTTTTGAAATATTTAACTTTAAAAGGTAGTTCTTTCTAATTAATAATATTTATATGCATAAATATGCACAGTTATTGATTGGGGATTTTACGGTTTTTTTTGTAATTTATTTTGTAGCACTTTGCAGTTCATCTTTGCCATACAGGGGTAGATTTGACCTTCAAATGTTTCAGTATGTACTGACACAGTATTTTGGATTTTATGTAATCATGGAGGTAACTTCAATAAACAACAACTGATTTATGCATCACTGATATATATATATATATATTTATATCTATATTGTAGAATATCCTTCTTACATGTTTTGTACTACATTATGTTAGCCAGACGGTGCACTATTACTTGATACAGATATTCACAAAACCTTATGAATTGCAGCACCCGATTTGTTACTAATAATGTCTTAACACAGAAGTTTAATGCTTGACGGAAAGACTGCGTGTTCCTAAAATGGTTCCTTTTCAGTATGTGGACAGAGCCTCTTAAAGCTAAGGGAGCTTAATGTGGAAATTACGGTACCGACTAGCTCCTGTCTTTCAGCTTGATTGTAAGTGACATTGCTTGTAACTGTAGAGATTATGATCTGCCCAAATGGTGTCGGTTTACCAAGGGCTCAGTTAATTACAAATTCTTGACCTCCTTAAAATAAAGTGAGACTGAAACTAAGAATCATGCAGGAACCATTAACATGGTAAAAATTGCTGAACAGCCAGGATTTGACATTAAAAAGCTTTTATATTGTTTCACTGAGCAATAAAAGAGGCTATGAAATGTCTAAAGGCAGAGTTGCTATTTTCTTCCCCTGTGCCAGACATGAAACTAAAATAAAAACATATTTCTAATGTTCTGCTAGAAGGGGTTTATTTGTACTAGAATTTATTTTAAATAAACATTTAATATACTCAGAGACATACTTAGATAAGCTGTTGAGTAGTTTGATGGATAGATTAGTTTGGGGACTGGAGAGGAAGCGCTGCCAGGGATGTTTTGGTTTGGGGCAAGTCGTATGATCCATTCTGTTAAATAAACCTCTTTGTGTTGAATTTGGTCAAAGTTTGACCAGTGGCCAGGTCTGTATTGCAAACAAGTGGATTGTTCCTGGGCAGAGCCCAGTGTTGTACTTACTGCAGCTGCCTGCCAGGCAGAGGGCACTCAAAAAGGCTGCTCCAGAAGAAAGGTGTTTGGGGATCATGTCTTTCTTTTATGAGAGTCATGGAAGCTCACAGCCGGGTCAGACAGAGGCTACTATGAGATGTTTTCATGGCAATATGTCTCTGAGTACCCTAATCTGTGAAAGGCAGCCTTCAGCCTTGCCACTGCCTTTTTCTACCAGCTGGATTTCTCCCAGGCAGCAGTGAAGAAAAACATGCATTTCAGTGGGAGCAAGATCAAGATCCTTGGGAACAGCAGACAATGCCAAGAAAACCTGTGGACAGCTAGTTGAAAACAATTTTAGTTCAAATAGTTCTTGCAGGAATTAGTCTTTCTTTTTTGACTGTCAGAAGGACTATAAATATATTTTTTCCTAGGAAAGCTAATTTCTGAGCATGGTTTCTCAAAAACTGAAGAACATACAGAATTTTGCCATGCAGGAATGACTAGTACAGTCCAACTGGCTCCTTACTCAACAGCCTTCATGCAGAGGTCCAGTTTGTTAATCCCTTTATCCTGCCATTCATGATAAGTTGGCAATTAATCATCACCATGAAGACCATCACTTTGTTTGCATCCGTTTAAATGCTTAAAAACTTGCAAATGGTTTGTAAAGTTGGAAGCTGTTATCAGATAGATAAAAAATGCATCCTTTCTGGCCTCTTTTTAATTCAACTGTCCTTTTCCAGTTGTATATTTAACACTTGAAATAATTTGAAAGTTTTTAGTGGATTGGGCAACTAAGTATTTTGCTCATGTTTATTTCAAAAGAAAACCCCAAAAGCTTACCTAAAGGTTTTTAGTACTTTCTGCATCTTCATAATTCTCTCTGGCTTCTTCTTTTCCTTCCAATTTTCAGTCATTCTGTTTTCTACTCTTAAGAGAGCTCAATGTCCTCCTTTGTGAGCTGTGGTAAACTCTGTTCTCCACAGGGCACAAAAGTGCAGGGTCTTGGAATATCCTTTTGAGGGGCTTTGTAATCATTATGTGATGTTGTAAAGTATTCCAAATTAAATGTAGATCCATGTTGTTCCAGATTTTGTCATCTGATCTTCAGAGCAAGAGTTTGTGGATGGTTGGAAGTGTTGAGAAATATGAATACAGCATTATAGGGAGCGCAGAGAATGCTGATGTTGTGTATTTCACATGTGTTACAGCCCATGCCATTGTCCCATTTCCATAAGAATGTGTATACCCAAACTTCTGAAGCTATCTTCCATTTGTTCTGTTCTTCTTTTGTTCATACAAAGTAAATCTGCTCTGAAAATAGGAAATGATGTATTGATTGGAAATAAATGTAGCTGTTTAGTTCTACAAGCATGTAGATTGTATGACTGAACCTGCAGAACATGTTATTGTCTTTTAACCAACCTCAGGTTAACTGTTTCCCTTATTTTCATCATAAAAGATAGATTGAAAGAGCCCACATTAGAGCATGTATTGTTTTCATATAGAGATGCTATATCCTTCTAATTTTAACAGCAACCTCCATGATTAGCTATGTTTTTGCAGCTGCATGGTGTGTGGTGGATAAGCATATATGTCCTGGCCTGGAGCAGAGTTGCAGCCAGTGTAGAGCCAAACTGCTTTCATTTTGAAGAGAGCAATTCCCCTGTAATCTCTAGAGGCAGCAAGTCACAGCAGTGTTACTAAGCAGATTATGTCTTAATATAGGAGGAAGCTTGTCTCATTGCATACACATTTTCACTGTAACTTCGTTCCTCAGCTGGAATGACAAGAACAACCATATAAGATTTCAGGGAACCATCTGATATTCAAACAAGTAGAGGGTAAAGTCATGGCTTCCTTATGATGGCTCTGATTTTTCCTTTGTGTAGGCAGAGTAGGGCTCATCATCAGGCATGTCGACCAAACAGGAAAGAAATCTTGATTTTTATCCTGAGACCTTTTTTTCAACATAACTGTTTCATTGATGTTATTGGCTTTATTAGTGTGAGAGCATAATTGGGGTGCCACACCACTGCACAAACCCAAGACCAGAGTCTTTGACAAATATTTTTTAGGTGTCTTCCACTGCCATTCAGAGCTTTATGTTCCTGGGTCTTTTTTGTATTTCAGGCTCAGTTTAAAAACAGGAAGAGTCATTCAGTCAATATCAAAATGTAGAAAATAAGCATTCATTTCTGAATCATTTTTTTCATACACACAAAAAAAGTCATATTCTAAATGATAGCATGAAATTGCGTTCTACCATAGCATCACATCGTGGGTGGCAAGCACTGGAATAAGAGACAGCAGGTAGAAACTGATGCACAGGAAGTTCTACCTGAATAAGAGGAAGAACTTCTTTACTGTGCAGGTGAACAAGCACTGGAACAGATTGCCCAGAGAGGTCATGGAGTCTCCCTCGCTGGAGATATTCAAGAACTGTCTGGATGCAATGCTGTGCCACATACTCTGGGATGACCCAACTTGAGCAGGGAGGCTGGATCACATGACCCACTGTGGTCCTTCCAACCTGACCATTCTGTGATTCCGTGATTAAAGAATTCATAGTTGTGATCCATCAGCAAACTGTGAGCCTTTTCTCCCTCTCTTCCCTCTAATTCTTCCTGTTGAAACTGTTTCATAGTCTTGTAAATCACAGACAATCATTGGTTTTATTCACAAATGCTACCATAACAGTTTGGAAAATCTATATTTATAAAAAATGTACTCGATCAACTTACTTTTAACAGGCCAATAAAGCTTTTAATTCCATATCATTGTGTTTTTCACTGCCTGTAAATTGATCACATCTCGTATTTCATTAGTAAAAGCACGTTGCATTAGGAAATATATAAATCTCTGAGTTCCTCACCAATTACCTGCTGTTATAGATGTGCTATTGTTGTTTTTGTTTTCTGATAAACAGTGAAATTCTACTCCTTGATTATATTTTTATAGCATCTCTAATGGCTACCATATTTATAAAGCACCCTTCAAACCCTGTTTGCAGTAGTTTTGTATCTACTTAATTTAAATGTGTGTGCGTTTAATATGTACCTTCAATCAGATGTATGGGTATTCAGATCAAATGACTACATACTCAGCTGTTGGCCATAAGACAGCAACTTTTACCCATCAAGCCATGCTTCCCCTACTCATTTGATTGGTTAAATACCAATCAAGTAAGCCGTGCTTATTTTCCAAACTGTTTTGAGAAAACATCACTGCTGTGATTTGAAGGGTATGTTTTGCTTTGTGACTTCGTTTGTTGGCCCAGACCATCTGGATTTCTTGACAGATCTAATGAAATGGAGTACACAAATGAAACGATTATGTCACAGTTTATGTCCAACTTTTTCTCTTCTTTTTGCTTTTTACTAGGACGCATCATATTTTCCCATTAACTTGATTACTGTATTTGGACTGCAGCAGATTATATGTTAATTTTTTTGCTTCTGAAATGTTTTGGTACATTTTTCTCTTTTGGGAGCTCAGGAGGTCTCTGAGTATTGTACCAAGTCTGCTTTGTATACCTGTAGGGAAATTTCAAATTTTTCACCTCTTTTAACAGTTGCGATGTTATGCAGTGTATTTTATACATATGCTTTTTTATCACCATCCATGTAAAATATGCTTTTGGAACTAATTTGATATATCCTCAGTATCTAGAAGAAACAGACTCAGTATAAAGATTAGTTCTTTTTCTAAGAGTAGCTTTCAATAAGACTTGCAGGTAAATTGTGCTGTTGATTAAGCTGGTAGACACAATATTTTAAAGAAAGTATTCAAACAATATAAAATGTTAGATTCTTGAAAATGCAAACAGAAGAAGATGCTGAGATCTGTTTGATATTTTTCTGAGTGGTAGCAAGCTAGCCATTGAAATACTCTTAATATAGGGTTTGCAAACTCAGTAGAGCAGGGTGTTATTATCTAGAAAGAACAATCAAAAAATGAAGCTGAGTAAAGGCAAAAGTGAAAATAGCCATTTACACTGCCCGTAGTCAACACTATAAGAAATAAAAAAGTCTTAATGTTCTTGATAATCTAAATTAGTGTAAAAATCCAAACAAGGGTTTATTTTTTAATGAACTGTAACTTAACAGTATTGTTGCAGAAGTCTATATTTTGTTCTTTTAAATGAGAAAAAAGATACAAACAGCATGTATTGGATATTTTTATCTTAAGAAATTGTAATTTGCATCTAATTTCATCATTAAAATACTTAAAGAATAAAAAGTTAATTTAATAGGTTAGTTTATAATTCTGATACTATTTTAAAGGTAAAATGAATTTAAACTCACCTTTCGTGTTGAGTAATTGATGTTTCTTCCTCTATTATGTTAGTAATCAGGCTCTCAATGAAAAATGCAGAGCACATAATAAGCAGTTCTTTGTATGTTTCAGTTCAATGATAATAGTTGCAAAAAGTCACAAAATACTGTTTTTTAATATATAGATAATTGTATTGAAAGACGTTTTGGCAGTGTGTTTTACCTGTTAAAAGTGAATACACTGTGCAGTTTTCTAAAACAAGTGTCAGTGAAGAGAACAGAAAGGTGTGTTTGAAAGACAAATGGAAATTAATTTGGATTGGAGTTGTTGCTCTGGTAATCGAAGAACTGATTTAAAAATCACTTTGTTGTTGTATTTATGCAATTTGCTGTTCTACTGTAGTTTTCAAATTCATAGTTCTTTCCCACTATGCCATTTTATGATGCCATGAGTTCTTCAGTTTTCATTGGAATAAACTTCAGATCTAGTTCCCTAATACATTGCGACTGTCTCAGAATAAGTTAGAATCTCAGTGTGACAGTGTTTTTCATACACGCATTTATTCTTGCCACATAAAAGTGCTGTGCTATTTACACATCTAAAAAGGAGCAAAATATTCAACTGGCTGTTCTAGCCATGACGCGTTCCCAAGATAGCTGATATGCAGAAGGAAAATACAGAAGTATCTGTTGGGAACCACATATTAATGACACCACGGATCACATTTCCTCAATAACTCCTTATAGCTGGTATTAGGGATTAGGGTCAGAAACTAGAAAATGGTGAAAATGCAGATGGGCAATTGGGTGTGCAGTTTCTTGATGACTGGCATGATCCACTGAAGAGTCACCATATTTTCCCCTGGTTTTAGCAAGATTCCAGTGTCTACAGCACTGAAGTCGATGGTTCCTCAGGAAGGGATGCATCATCCCTGCCTTAGGGAACAAGATCCAAGAAAACAGTTGGTTCTATATAAACCTTTGTCTGAGGGCTGGGTAATGTTTCTTTCATTTTGTTTCTCAGCCCATGCTGAGTGTTTGTAATATCTTCACACTAGTAGACGTCCCAGCATAGACCCTGCTGCCTAAACCAGAATTCCACTTTCTTTTTCTAAAGATGCATGCTATGCAATCAATTTTAATGCTTACTTATGAGACCTAGCATGATGCTGAGGTCATAGGTTGTAAGTTAGCTTACACCTTTCATCCCCAGATGGTCCCAGGGTGAAGGTCAATATGGCTAGCCATATCAGAGATTCGTGGTGCACTTTCTACTATACAATTAATGCATAGTCCTAAGAAGTTAATACAATTAATGCATAGTCCTAAGTCTTCACTGTTAAGACACTTCATGTCTTAAAAATCCAGGGAAAAATCCAAGGCCTGTATGTACTGTATTATTACATAATACATCCGTTTGCATTCAGATTCAGAGCTGTGTATGTGCCTTAAATATGAGCTAAAAGTCAATGTGAAAGAATATCAGTATTGTCTTTCTCATGGTAAGCCCTGCTCATTGACTTTTTCATTAATGTCAGGTGATTATATGACTTAGCAAGTCAGTTTGTCTCAGTTTTGTAAGCCCTAAGTAATTTTTTTGGCAGACTGAGGTACTACCTTTGTGTTGTAATGTAACTGTCTGCCTAGTGAAGTCTGTCTTCTGGGTAGCAAGTAGCCCATTGACAAATATCTCAGCCCCTGATGGGTCTTATGAAGGGTTCTGCCACACAACTCTCTGTTATTACTAATTGCTTAGCAGTATAATTTTTAAATACATGGAGTGTTTTTTAAATACCACCCAAATCACCAACTCTGCATTTGTTTGCTTACAAGAATATGCATCAAAATCAGGTAAGTGCTTTGCGATTTGCCTGAGCATTTCCTTTATCCAGGCATCTGAGGTACAGTTTTTGAGGCAGAACATGCCGAGACCAGCTTTCTACCTGTTGTGTGGTACAACAGGTTACCTTTTCCTGTACGTAGGTTTTGTTTTTCCCTTGGGAGTTGGCAGTCTCTTTCCAGGTAAAGAATCACACTTTATCATACTTCATCATGGTGTCAAAAAAAAACCATGAAGGGCCATGTGCCTCTTTAAGAGGAAGGCAAAGATTTATCATAACTACTTCTTCTTTCTAAAGAGGATGCCAGGTTTCCGTTGCCTGCTGCTACTTCACACTTCATTGGAATCCAAATGAATATGTAACTTGTTGCTGTTGAATTCAACTACCCTGGGACACAGGTGAAGTTATTACCTGCCATTAGGAGGTTACGGTGTGACCTCTGGAGTCAGTTGTTCCCAATGGCAAGGCTCCAGCAGATTTTGCTCCTGGGTTATAGTCTGAACTTTGCCCATGGTGAGAGCAGCTGTAACCACTAGTGATATGTAGATGGCCCACATGATAGCGGTTTGATCAGTGATTGCCAGGGGACAGCCACTTATGCCAGGAAAGGGCAGTCTTTGGCAGATGAAGCAGAGAGGCTGAGAATTGATGGCAGAGAGACTTAGTTACTGTGTGATCAATCAAATCACAAAGGGTTTGATTGTCTCCAGGAGGGGAGTGGGAATTCCAAAAAATCTTTTTTTCCGATTTGGAGACATGCATGTCTTGCTTTGGGTGCCATAAATCAGGCTACTGTGAGATTTATTTGTTCAATACAGAATATCATTGTAATTTTAACTCTCACCATTCATGAGGATTTCCATCTGCGTGTTGCAGGTTGCAAAGGGTTTGTGCTGCTGCTTCTCTGGTTACAACAGAGCCCTGGCTCTGACCTCAGAGCACAGCACTGTATTCCCCTGTAAAACAAATCAGGGGTGTTTATTTGTCTGGGATTTTTGTCATCACTGCATTTATGGATGGGAGAACTAGTGTGTGTTTTTGTGGTCGTACCTGCAGTCGCATCTTTCTCTTACTTGAATTATGTTATCTGCTTTAGGATTCTAGGGAAGTCTGCCAGTGTACCGCATTGAATTGTCCTATGTAATGTGTAAATGCTTTCTTTAGCATCATGAAACATTTTACCATTCCTGCCTACACATTGCAAGTGCACAGCTTGTGCAGCCTGATTCTCCCATGCCTTTCCTTGCATTGCGTTTCTGTTTGTGCCATGTAGCTGTAAAATGCTAACAGATCAATCTGTCCAGCAGTGAATGTATCTGCATGGTATGCAAAATCATGAGGAACTCAAAATCAGTAGGGATGAAGAAAAGTATGAGTCAGTTCCTTTAACAAATTCACATCAGCTAGGAGACTAACTTATATACTTATCATTTGTAAGTACTACTACTCCTACTGTTTGAAAATGGTTAAAGCTATGTCTATTAACATTTGAAGGAGTAGACATCCATCTTAGGTCCTGCCAAACATTTAACACAAAAAGGAAATGCTAGCCAATTGAAGTAATGCAATTTTAACTTTAAAACGGTAAGGTTTTTGTGGTGTTTAGTCCATAATAGCCAGATATCATGTAAGATCTGTATTTATCTGTAGTTTCATTTT